CTAGAATTTCGATGAAATTTTTGCATAATGTCACTACTATATCAAGGACCTTGATAATTCTACGCCCCTATTAGACATATTTTCCGTAGATTAGCCCTTATGAAATTTACGGTGGTATGGTATACTTAATGATATGCGAATATTTAAGGGTGTGAATCTACATGAAAAATTAATGTTAGTTTGCTTTATAAACTATCGTCCAAAAATGTTTCCGGGGTGTTGAAGTTTTAGGAAATAAATGGAAACTAATTAATATTTTCAGAACCGCTTCAGATATTTCACTAATATTTAGTCGTAGTGAAAGTTAATAAAGTTGCATATTTTTCAATGCAAAAATAATTTTTAGCTTCAACAGTGGCGTGCGTACGGTTATTGACTTTTTAATGGTTTTTTGCCAAATAAAAATTATTTTTGAATTTCCCGTTCAATTTAAAACAAATGATCTCTCCTGAATTGTTTTTCGTCGATGCGCCATTTTTGAGTAAAAAATAAAAACCGTTCTATTGTCTATCACAAGCTGCAACTATTCTTTCTCTTAATTCCTCTACAGTGTTAATGGGACTTGTGTACACTAGTGTCTTAAGATAGCCCCACAAAAATAAATCTAAACTGTTGAGGTCTGGGGACCTTGGTGGCCATTCTTGGGGGCCACCGTGGCCAATCCAACGATTTGGATAAACAGTTTGTAAATAATTACGAACCGCTACACTGAAGTGCGCTGGTTCACCATCATGCATGTACCACATATTGTTTCTTATTACCAACGGAACATCATCGAGCAGCAAAGTCAACTGTTGCTGAAGAAAATTGAGAAAAGTATGTCCGTCAAGAAGAATGGGCCAATAAAGTGGTTGCCAATAATTCCTGCCCATACGTTAACCGAAAATTGGTGTTGGAAATGGGTTTCGGTAACGGCATAGGGATTTTCTTCTGCCCACAAATGATTATTGTGGAAATTCTGAATGGCATTTCGAGAAAAATTAGCTTCGTCCGTGAAGAGAATCATTGATTCAAATTGCGGATTTTGTGTATTTTTTTTAAGATACCACTAACAAAACTTCGCACGCCTTGGAAAATCAATGGGAAGTAATGCCTATACTCTCAAAATATGGTAAGGATATAACAAAAAAATCCACTAAAATTCTCCAAACAATTTGATGGCAAATATTTAAGTGTCTACCGATCTTCCTCGTACTCGTTTCAGGATGTTCTTCGACTTCGTGCAGCACTGCTTCCTCAATTTCAGATGTTCTCACACTTAGATGTCTACCTTCAGATGTTCCTTTTCGGACAGAACCAGTTTCAACAAGACGACGATGAATATTAGAAAAGGTTCGACTATCTGGCAAAGCACGATCGGGATATCTCTGGTGATAAATCCGTCTGGCTTGCTCACCATTACCGTCGGCAAGGCCATGTATGTAATACATTTCCGCCATTTCTGCATTTGAATAATTCACCATTATTAACAAGATTGTAAAAACTAAATATTGAAAAAGATGTCACAGCGAACAGATTTGAATAACAGAGACTTGTCAGATGTCAAAAACCAGTGACATATTCCAGAGCAACTAGACATTTATTGCTAAATTGCATTCTTCAATTATTACATTAATTTTCTCGGACAATAGAACGGTTTTAATTTTTTTACTCTAAAATGGCGCATCGAAGGAAAACAATTCAAGAGAGATCATTTGTTTTAAATTGAATGGGGAATTCAAAAATAATTTTTATTTGGCAAAAAACCGTTGGCGTACCATTTGTTTCTTAAAAAATATCGAAGTCAATACCCGTACGCACGCCACTGTTAAAGCTAAACATTATTTTTGCATTGAAAAATATGCAACTTTATTAACTTTTACTACGTACTAAATATCAGTGAAATATCTGAAGCGGCCTTTTTTGCTAAAACTCCAACACCCCGAGTTTTTGTAAGGAAACATTTTTGGACCAAAGTTTATAAAGCAAACTAACATTAATTTTTCATGTAGATTCACACCCTTAAATATTCGCATATCATTACGGATCACCCTGTATAACACGTATTTCTCCTACGCCACAGCATAGCGTTTCCTATGATCTGCCGCGCTGCCATGTCTGACCAGGGAGAGGCGACGTTTCCAGATACAGTACCGGTCGGGCAGGGAAATAATATCTATGGACTAATTGTATGGACCTGTTTGACTCTTTACTGATAATGCCGTTGTGTGGAAAGTGCAGAGTCAACCTACTAGACCCCATTTTTTCAAGATTAGCTCCGCTAATAAATGCCCAAGCCCACCAACCATATTATTTTGACAAATTTTAGTGGGCGCCAGATCCTTTTTGGCAGACATTTTATTAGGAACTGTGTTCAACGGGATGCATTGCTATTAGAGTCATAGTCACACACATAACACAAAAAACACATACCGTCAAAGCCGTTTTTAACATAAAAACTTAATATTTTTCTAACATGGCCTACTAAGACCACTTGTCTTACTGTTAACAACATTAATCAAATACAGGTCTGTAAGGGGGCCAGGGGCGAAGCATGCGGATCAACAGGCTGTTAAGGACTTGGGACCCAAGATCATTCTTAGCTTCACTAGGATGGGACGGCGAGCTTTGGGGCCTAAGGATAAATAGATGCGGATAAGGGTTCAGCCAGTAATAACAAAAATGAGAGAGGGGGAATTTTATGAATCGTATTTATCGATTTTGCAGTTTCCATCAATAAGGGTTTGCATACATAACATCACTTTTTATATTACAAATCGAATCCCTAATAGTGTATGTACACTTTCTCCTTACCTGGCACAACTGGTAGATACTATCCATGACATTTATTCATAAACAAAAATAATCTTTTGTTGAGTACTTCCGATACTTGTTATCATAGTTGTTGCAGCTGAGATTAGAATATTAGGATTTATTTATGTCTCCAGTTCCTATTTATAGACGACTGTGTGTCTGAGTGCCTTTTAGATTGAAGATTACCGCCCACTATTCAAAGAGCATTTGTAAATGGAAATACGAGTTATTGTGTCGATTGTGATAGCCATCTGCACATTTCCATTCAGAATGAGCTCTGCGCTCTCGGATGTACGAGTTTGTAAACCAGTGAATGGCTTAGACCTTAGACTTGGATCAAGTTTATTTTACATAAAAATATAAGAGTGATCGCCTTTCAATGTTTAAGACACAGCCACAGTTTAAAAGTGACAAAAACACTGCACAAAGAGAGGAGAATTGAAAAAACAGTAATTAGTCCTCTACATTAACGCTTACTCTTTCAATTTCCGAACTTCTTACGTTCTTATAAAAGAGTTTTTTTTCCAAAATCGTAGGAAGTACCACAAGTCGACAAAGGATGACGCAAGGATCCGTTTTAGGGTCATAACGTTCTCTGAAACTGAATACATATACTCGCTCAAAATCAAAATAACACGTACAGGAAAGTACGATAGAAATGTCGAACATTGAAACATACGGAGAAAGAAGAAAACAATTAAGACTGAATAAAAACGCAGATGTTACCTAGTAAGGGTAAGAAACTCAACCATTATAACTCCAAAAAAAACATTCGGAAGATTGTGGAGTATAGCATTTTATTTAGATTGCACCTTTGATGCAAGAGGTGGCTTGTCGCCTCTAGCAGTTAATTAAAACATAAACCAGGGCTGCCTACCCTCTAATATCTTTCTACATATAGGAATTTTTGGCATAATTTTGACCATTTGATTGACATCTGTTGATAATAGTATAGTCTACGTTGCCATGGGGCGTCTTACACGATACAGAATAATTGAAAGAAGAATCTTTGTAAATACACTTGACCCTGAAGACATCTGAGGTAGCATGGCTATCTTCTGCTGGCAACAGTCCGCTTTAGCACAGTCTACGGGGATTTTCGATTAAGATTTCAATCAAAATTATGCCAAAAACATTCCAAATGAAATAAAACGACAAGCTGAGCTAGACAACTCCCAAGTGTATCGAAATATCGTTTTAACATCCCGTCAAAATAAACAGCAGTAAACGACGTTCAAATGCGCGCGCTCCTATTGGCCATAAATATGTATGGGCAGGCAGTGACATGCGAATAGAAACGACGATAGAGAGCTTATGTTTGTTTTCATGCAGAGTAAATGAGGTTTGAATAATCTTTCGTTTAGTATAACCCTGTTTGAAATATAAGTGTATATGGTAGGCATATTAATTTTTATTTAAAATGGTGCGGTGATCGAATCAATATAATATAGGTGTATATACTATAATGGGTACTAGGCGTAAAATATATTATCATCATTGTAGTAAATGTTAGACCGTCTCTGTCAAAAGCAACGAGCAAATTCTATTTATGGCAGTGGCGGATACACGGGAGGGAACTGGATGAGACTTCCCCCAAGGGTGAAGTTAGGAATCTGTCTGGGGGAGCTGTGTCGCTGCTTCCATGTTTAAAATTGAAGAGAGGTTGGTGGCATTTGGACGTTTCAGCACTTAAGCAGCGCTTCTCAGAGCAAATGCCCATGTGACAAATGAAGAGCGAGATGTGGGATACGTATAGGGGGGGAGGGGGTGCAACGTCTTACGATTCAGGTCTAGCTAGCTAATTTTACACCAAGATACAGCAATATACCATTTTGTTGAAACAAAATGGCATATTGCAGTATCCTGCCTTGGTTCCCCACAAAAGATCATTGGACAAAGAAAAATACGCAGTAAATCCACTGATATATTTGGCGCCCTCCTCCCGCTCTTCAATTGTCACAAGAGCAGTTGCTCTTAGAAGCTGACTCCATCCCCCTCCCCCCCCAAACGTCTCTCTGGATCCGCCCCTAATTCATGGATATTGCTTTGCGAAATCACGTTAAGAAATTATTGACTTACTTTGTAATTCAAATAACATTCAAAACAATTACCAATTACGTCCGTAGGAATCAACATCCCTCCCCAAGAACTCATAGCCGGTCTATTATGTACGTATATCGCAGAATGAATATACTGCACAGATATCATCAGTAAGACTAAAGCAAAAAATCTGCATAAAAATTAGGACATACACTGTGACATAGATAACCTACCTTAACATACCACTTAGCGCTTTTCTTATTGTTTTTCCTAGGTCCGGTACAAACGCAAAATCTGAATCGATTTCTTCTCAACGTGTCTCCGTTCTTCTCTCTAGTGGGACTCTTGCTGTTGACGCACTTCGAAGCAAAAAACTTCGTTTTCTCCGTGACATTGTGATAAAAGTCCGTTTGGAAACCCAAAGGCGATGAATTCGTGGGCAGCAACATCGAATTCAGTACACTAATTTTGATTTCACATCAATTGCATTTCCGGTAAATCCGCTGTGTCCGTCCAAATTCAATGCACTTTTGCAGCTCGGGTTTCTCCAATTTCACTAAATGTTTTTCATTACCTCATGTTTGACATACAGTTGTAAATTATTTACAAAAGGTATAGGTACGCTGCGTAAAGTTCAGTGGATTTTTGTGTTCATGACCTCGTCTGGTAACAATGGAATCGATTATGTTTGTAACCTATATATTAGTACGAGATCCAATGCATCACTCTTTAACACTTATTAAAGGATGTAAATTGTCTTAGATACAACTTCGGAAATTCGAAGAATGTGACAGGTACGTCAAAACATTGGTCCCAAACTCCTGTGCGGTATTTAAGCTTAAGAGTCAAGTATCCGTAAAATAGCGCCTCCGAGTCCTCTAGACTCTAGACTCTAGACCGTGCCGGTGATTGTCATTGAAAATGAAACGGCATTGTACATGGTTGGTCAGACGATAAATATACTAAGTGACATATAAACCCGAACACCCAGTATAAATGGTTTTATTTTAATAAAATTTGGTATAAGTACTTAATGAAGCATAATAAGTACATGGTAAAAATTTCAAAATGATTGCACTGCTTTAAAGGCCTTTGACCTTTAATAATGTGTGGATGCACCCTGATGTGCTACGCATTCTCCAACGCGCCTAGGTATGCTTCTGATCAGGTGGTCAATGTCCTCCTGTGGTATCTCATTCCAGGCAACCACCAATTCCTCTTGAAGTGCTTCTAGAGTCTGAGGAGGACGTTGCAAATTGAGCAATGTCCTACCCATCATACCCCACACGTGCTCAATTGGGGATAAGTCGGGAGATCTTGGTGGCCATGGTAACAATGTGACATCATTATGTTGAAAGAAGTCTATTGTGACTCTTGCAACATGTGGTCGGGCATTATCTTGTCGGAAAGTTGGATCTGCCAGGGTGTCAAGATAGGGTAAAAGATGGGGTTCTAGAACTTCGTGGATATAACGCTGCGCGTTCATGTTACCTCTGATGAAGATTAAAGGTGACCTGGAACCATAAGCTATAGCACCCCAAACCATAACTCCAACAGTGTGATAAACATGTCTTTCAACAAAAAACTGTGGATTCCTCCTTTCACCACGTCGCCTTCTAACCCTGGCACGACCATCGTGCATGCCTAAACAAAATCGAGACTCGTCACTAAAGACAATACTGTTCCATTCCTGATCCCAGAGTAACCGTTGTCTGCACCACTCAAGGCGATTACGTCGGTGTAAGGGTTAGAAGGCGACGTGGTGAAAGGAGGAATCCACAGTTTTTTGTTGAAAGACATGTTCATCATACTGTTGGAGTTATGGTTTGGGGTGCTATAGCTTATGGTTCCAAGTCACCTTTAATCTTCATCAGAGGTAACATGAACGCGCAGCGTTATATCCACGAACCCCATCTTTTACCCTATCTTGGCACCCTGGCAGATCCAAATTTCCAACAAGATAATGCCCGACCACATGTTGCAAGAGTCACAATAGACTTCTTTCAACATAATGATGTCACATTGTTACCATGGCCACCAAGATCTCCCGACTTATCCCCAATTGAGCACGTGTGGGATATGATGGGTAGGAGATTGCTCAATTTGCAACGTCCTCCTCAGACTCTAGAAGCACTTCGAGAGGAGTTTTTGGTTGCCTGGAATGAGATACCACAGGAGGACATTGACCACCTGATCAGAAGCATACCTAGGCGCGTTGGAGAATGCGTAGCACATCAGGGTGCATCCACACATTATTAAAGGTCAAAGGGCTTCAAAGCAGTGCAATCATTTTGAAATTTTTATCATTTAATTATTATGCTTCATTAAGTACTTATATAAAATTTTATTAAAATAAAACCATTTAAACTGGGTGTTTTCGGATTTATATGTCACTTAGTATATCATAGTTTTAAATAGCAAATACAACCATAATGTATTTCGCCAGCATCGGCGGCATCTTGCGATCATTGTCATGACTCGGCAGTTCCACCAGGACCATGCTGATGATCACCATTAAGCATGAAAAGCAATGTGCCGAACGTAGTTGATTGGCCGGACGAAATCAGAATTATCTATTAGTAAATAGTTGTGATCTATAGCCTCGTACCGAAAACGAAGAGAGCAGAGAAGCAGATCGCACGCTACTGAAAGTCGGAGCGTGAGTAATCCGTCGAATTTAAGAAGATGCCGCGCTGACCAGTGGCGGGGGATGAAAGCTATGAAATTACCTGTGTTTAGGGCCCTGTGTTATAAAATTGCCGGCGTTTCTGAAAAATGTATTTCCTTCTTAAGTGCTCCTTTTCGTCATAAACTGTTAATGTAAATGTTAATATCTAGGATGTGCATAACGTTGAAGTGTTATTTCCGCTTACATTTTTTGAAAATTACTTAACTAATCGTAAACAAAAGATGAAGACAGTTAGATCTTCTGTTGCCGTTTCTTCAGGTGTCCCTCAGGGCTCTGTCTTAGGTCCTTTACTGTATTTGATATATACTTTTGATTTACATTCATGCATTGAGCATTGTGCTATACAACCTTAGGCGGATGAAACGCAGCTTTCTTTCCATTTTGACTTGTCTCATCTGGATGAAGTGTCAGTGTGATCTTACCAACATCACTGATTTTTGTAAAAGACACATGTTGAAGATTAATCCGGATAAGAGTACTTGCATACTTTTTTATCCTAAACATTTGCATAATAGTGTAAGGGACAGAATTGCATTGAGCATCAACAACGAGCTCATTCCAATTGTGGAACAAGCAAAAGATCTTGGTGTCATCTTCGACTTTAGTTTAAGATTTGACAAACATGTGTGTCACCTATCGAAGTCCACCTACATCAAACTAAGACTACTTTATGCTAATAGATTCATTTTGAACTTTAAAACGCGTAAGAAGCTAGTTTAAAGTTTGATAATGACCAGCCTCAACTACGCTTTAACCTTATACTATCCGTGTCTTGACTCGATGAATCCGTGTAGGATCTAAAGAACACAAAACAACTGCTGTAGGTTTGTGTATGGTCTTCGGAAATATAGTCATGTCTCCTCTAAGATCAAGGAGTTGAAATGGCTGAAAATGGATCAACAATAATTTGAATATAGTCTTTGTGCATAAGGTATTGTGTACTAAAAAGCCCATCTATCTCGATAGTAAATTAGTAACTAGAGGAATCATTAATCTTAGAGATCTGATGCATAATAATGCCATGCCTTTGCACTACACCGCATTGTTTCAGAAATGTTTCGCTTTCAATGCTGTGAGGTTATACAACTCATCCGACCCTGCCTGGAGAAGCAAAAGTGCTGTTAGATGTATCATGATTAGTTGCTATTATCTTTATGTTTTTTTGTGTTGTCATTCGTTTAGTATTGGTTCTTGACTGGTTCCTCGTTTGGTAAACCAATATAGCGCGGATTTATCAATTGATTGTATGTTTTCCCTTTATTATTAGCTCACTTAGTTGAAAGCCAGATCGATGTATTTATTTTTAGGTTGCATATGTGTGACTTTGAATTGTATATCTATACATATTTCCTCACACAATAGGGTTTGGTGTAAGAGTAGACACCCCTATTGTTGTGTTACTAATAAAGATATTTATTATATATTATTATATTATTATTTGACCACTACAGTATCTGGGAGCTCTGAAGAAGAAAATATTTTTTCCGATACGACGGCACCTTTAATTTTCAGTTATAAATGATAACAGAAAACTGTGTATCTTTGACGCCAAATTCAATTAGATACTCGTACAACTAGTTCGATATATCCATTATGAGACTAACATTCCCACCATCTTCTAACATCTGTTTTAACTTCAATCACAAAAATGCAAAATAGTAAGAACAAAGGAGCAGAGTAGAAGAACTGGACCTATATCTAGACGTACGAGGTCTGTAAATTAAGTAATGAGACGGGCAACGTAGCGTTCGATCTAGCTACACTGGAGGCGCCGGTCTTTGAGGGGAGAGAGGGGAAAATGTGATCCGCCTTCAGTACAAGATTGAACTCGCTCGAGGCATTTTTTGTGAAACAGTGTTCTAAAAATGAATGATATCAATTTCGAGCAGCGGTATGCTATCAGGTCACAGTGCAAAGGAAACTCTTGCTAAGCTTCAGCATGCCTACGGAAATAGTGTTTTGTCAAGAGCCCAGTTTTTTCGGTGGTAAGGCATTTTCAGAAGGGAGAGTTTCGATTGAAGATGAACAACGAAGCGGAAGGTCTTCATCTTCAAGAACAGATGAAGATATCGACAGAATCCGGGATCTTGTACGTTCAGATTGTCAGTTGACAGTCAGAATGATCGGGGAACAGTTAAATTTTACTCACACCACCGTTCATCAGTTCAAGAACAAACAGCAGTGTCAATAAACGAGTTTTTTGCCAGCAAAAACATTTCTGTGGCTCCTCAGCCTGACTTGAGTCCTTGTCGCTTTTTTCTCTTCCCGAAGTTGAAAAATATCCTCAAGGTTTTGGAACAGTCAAAAGAATGCAAACGGCTGTAACCGATCAGCTGAAGGTTATCCCAGTATCGGAGTTCTAGCTATGAGGAGTGGAACAACCGACTCCATCGCTGTACGGCTTCAGAAGGAAGTTATTTTGAGGATGACAATACGAAATTGCAATTATATTCGAATAAAAACAATTGAAAAAATCAGTCTCATCACTTCATTTACAGTATGTGGCTTGTGTCACCTTATCTGAGTGCGCAAAATTGACCTCGGAGTTTAGATAATTTCGTGCATGGAATCTCGGACTATATTGTTTAATTCAATTGTCACAAGCAGCAACAACGGGTGAAGGATGTACTTTATCCTTGGACTTTATTTAAAAAATTACATTTAGTCCTCATGTTAATATTCATATTATGTTCTCTTGTTACTTCTTATCTATTAGGAAAAGTAAAAATCTATTAGCCTGCTTCTAAATATTAATTTTATAACAAATTATGCGAGTGAATATAAATTCTCGGCACTAGTCAATCTTGTGTGGAAAGTAACTTTCATTTGACTAATCGACGAGGTAAGGTCATCCATATTTCATTATAAAACGGATAATTTCATGAACGTGAAAAGTAAACCAGTTTACTTAATTATTAAAGTCCCAATTCTGATTTACTCATGGAGGAGTACAGGAAGTTAATAAATTTTATATGACCAAACTACCCCAAAGGGTTGCTTTCAAGGGCAGATCTAAGAAGAAAAGCTTATGTGAACATAGGTCAGATAATACTTCTTTTTTAAGATTCAGAGTCGATTCGCAAGTATCCTAATAACCTCCTAATTCATTTAAGATTTATCAAGCATGATTGCTGTCATTAAATTCTTTTAAAAAACTACAACAATTTCATAACATACAAATATTCAGAAAAACAAAACTTGCATCTCTAAAAATGTTCACTGTCCATGAAATTTGTGCCTATAATTCTCTTTTAAACATCTTTAAATTACGGTAGACTATATCATTATTTAGTTTATTAAATTCAAGTATGTAATCCCTTGTGAAATACATATTAATTTTCTAGTTATATTACTATTGCAATTTTGTAAATGGGAATCCATATTTCATCCTGTATAATAATTATGGTAATGATTATTCAGTTCTATGTAATGTTCTACATGTTGTGGTAAAAGATAATTTTTTGTTTTAAATATGAAAATAAGAATCAAACATGATATGAATTATTTTATATTTAAAACCACTGCAATTACTGTAACGAAGATTTTATTTTGATGTACTTATTTTTATTCAATATTATTCACTGTTCAAGATAGAAGAATAATAATATAGTATATGCGGTAGAATAATTGTTTTATACACTATTTTTTTAATATGCATGAAAACTATAAGAAGCCCTATAAAAGTATTTTTTTTAATTTTTGAAATAATGTATTCATAGCGATTCCCAAAATTTCGTTTACTCTCAATATATATATATATATATATATATATATATATATATATATATGTATATATATATATATAACAACAAGTATGATCATATTCTCTTTATATATATATATACACACCCAAATAATTTATTAATTTTTCAATTATTTCACCATTTATCCTAACTGTAGTATTTCTAGTTTATTTAAATTTAACCAATTTATGATTTTTGGCAAGTGAGAATTTAGCATCTTTAAGGAAGTGTCTATATTTTCATCGATATGTTTATTAATGTATCATCTGCAAATATCTGAATTTTACAATCATCTAAAATATCACAAATAACATTAATGTATAAAATAAATAGTAGTGGACCCAGTTTACTACCTTGCGGTACACCAAAAGTCTGTTAATAAAATGCAAACTCTCCAAAGGAAAGAAATAATAGATTTTACCTTTACCTGTATACCTGCTGAATGTCAACAAATTTAAGCAAAATTAGAAAAACGAATACGGAAAAACGAATTCGCAAAAAAGGAAAAGAATGCATTATCCCTATGTTCATATGAACTTTTCTTGCTACGAATAGCCACGAGATCATCCCCTGAAGTTTGGACAGTTCACCTTTTAAATTCAGTTATATAAGATGCGTCTTATATGCATGTATACAAACATAATCGACTCACAATTCGCAAATAAAAAGCTCGATACTATATTTTTTGATCGATCTAAACCCTAACCTACGTCCACAAAACACACTATTTCCATTCAATAAACAAAACTCCGGAGTGTAGGCAAGATCGCGGTCAGCTGTGCTTCAACGGCGCGGTTCGCGGTCCGCCGAGATCGATCGTCAACTGTCTTCCGCGGCACACTTCGATCTGCTGGTGCTGGCACTGCTGGCGAGTTTGTCGGCCCCCAAACGCTCGGGAAATATCACGCTGTTGGCGCCCGCCGCGGGGGCGCAGGCGTAAGGATGGGGGTGAATCATCCCCCGTGATTCAAGCGGGGGTGGATAGACAGTGGTGGAGGATAAGAAGGTCACCACTGCATAATACACCAAGTTTCAGGTTCACGAACGTAAAGTCCAGGTCATAAATAACTTCCGTTTCATGATGTTTCTAATATATGGATGTTAAATTATTGCCGTTGTGCGATTTCAAACACAAAAGGGTTACGGCTACATTACAAGAAATTACTTTTGAAAACTCATACCTTTCATAATCCAAAGTTGTGTTTCAGACTCAACCAACAACCAGAGAAGTTATGAAAAACCTGATTCGTAATGCAATACGTAACATACTGAGAACCGAAATTGAAGCTGCTGTTTTGTCTACCTATGAGAGGCTTCAGGAATGCATAGAGCGTGACGGTCAGCATTTCGAGCATTTACGGGGCATTAAAAACCTTTCTTTTTCAAATCGGTCCTTTTTAGGCCCTCAACTCAATAATAAAAAGAATTTCAGAAAAATTAGTTTTAAAAAATTAAAATTCAAGGGATTTCCATATAAAATTTTCTCTGACCTAAATTTTGGGTTAGGAACAAGATATCGAGATGCAGTTTTGTAAGCTTGTTTAGACATCATTTAGCTACTTTTTCATAAATAAAAGCATACCAATGAATTTAATTTTTTGAGGAAATTAACCATTTCTGGCGGTATGTCGAAAAAAGCCCTATAGCGGCCACATGTGAAACTAACAAAACTTCAAATATTATAAAATTTGTAGCCCAATAGTAGTTATTTTCAACTAGCCCAAGTTTGTTAAAATCGGCTCAGCCGTTTCGAAGATACAGGGTGTTTTTTACGGAAACCTTTGAATACCTCCCACCACTTTATTTTTAGAAATGCAGCAAAAATTGTCAAACAAAAAAGGAAAAAGGTATTTTTTGTTACGTTAATATAGCGGAATTCACAGAAACACCACTTTTTTAGATTCAAGATTGCAGTTACGCCCCTAGGGGCCATTTCAGAAACTTGAAAATATTTTCCAGGTTTTTCTCTTGGCCGTTTTAGTACGAACTTTTTTTGCCGCAAGCCTCTACGATGGATACAGTACATCGCATTCTTAATTGACCACCGTGTACATGCCACATAACATCCAAAACACATAATTTCTCAATTTTGAAATTTTCCGCGGTTACAACACTTTCAACAGTTCTAGCATAGGAAGTAAAAATGGAGTATTAAGGGGCAGCCAGGTCATTTGCGTAAAAGCCTTGCATAATATGCACCATGCTTTTATGCACCATTTTTAAAGGAAAGGATGCAATCATCCTCAGTCTACATTCTACTCTAAATCAACTTCGTCAAATCACGGCCCGCTAGTTTAGACGCATCTGCACGTCCTCCAAGTCACCACTCCCAAAGGATTCATGTAACGCCCATGCTTAATATCCACCCTTAACCTTTTCCAGGACAGAAAGCAATTATCCTCGCACTGGACCACACTGCTCAAATCACGAGCTTAGTCTATACACCTTCGCATGTCTTCCAGGTGATGATTCACCATGTAACCCCTCTCAGAAGAACATTTATGTAACACCCATGCCTATAATATGCACCATGCTTTCATGCACCTGTTTCCAGGATAGGGAGCAATTATCCTCACACTAGATAAACTTCGTCAAATCACGGCCCTACAGTCTAGACGCCTCCAAGTCCTTTCTCCAGGTGATGAGTCACCATGTTACCCTCTCCCACTTGCATTTAATCCTGTTTAGAGACCTCGTCGATGATATATAGATCGGCTAATGATATTACACGGAAGGCTAAATTCATGTAGGAGTTGGAGTCCATTCAGGCGGGTATCGTATTGAGTGTACGAGTATATGAAGTAACTTAGGAGTGGAGTGGTTTCAGAGTCACGTTTTACTTCCTACGCCAAGAACACTTACCAACAAAAACTGTCTATCTGGTTACTGGCCCCAAGTAGAAAAACGAATATGACCAAAACAATTTTGTATTAGCCCTTGTTTGAAGATACAAAGCAGTTCACTGTATAGTTTGATTTAAAAATAAACTTAAGATAAACAAATCCTATGCAATTTTTGTTAAAATAAAATTAAAAAATTATCCAAAAAATAATTTTCAATAAAGTGATATCTTTCAAAAGTCTATTCGTATTTACGTTTGCTTTTAGACTGACTTTGTCAAATATGGAGCATCTTCAGACCAGCAGTAATAAATAAATGATAAATAAAAAAATAACGCGTATTGCCCAAGAGTTAAGGAAATAATTTATACGTACAGGACAATCCTATGAAATGATAAATTAAACTAACAAAAAAGGGAAAAACAAACAAGAAAAAGAAGCAAAAAACATATTTAACTCACGCGAGAAACAGATCGTAAATTGTTTAAGTATACTAAGTGACATATAAATCCGAACACCCAGTTTAAATGGTTTTATTTTAATAAAGTTTTGTATAAGTACTTAATGAAGCATAATAAGTAAATGATAAAAATTTCAAAATGATTGCACTGCTTTAAAGCCATTTGACCTTTAATAATGTGTGGATGCACCCTGAAGTGCTACGCCTTCTCCAACGCGCCTAGGCATGTTTCTGATCAGGTGGTCAATGTCCTCCTGTGGTATCTCATTCCAAGCAACCACCAACTCCTCTCGAAGTGCTTCTAGAGTCTGAGGAGGACGTTGCAAATTGAGCAATCTCCTACCCATCATATCCCACACGTGCTCAATTGGGGATAAGTCGGGAGATCTTGGTGGCCATGGTAACAATGTGACATCATTATGTTGAAAGAAGTCTATTGTGACTCTTGCAACATGTGGTCGGGCATTATCTTATTGGAAAGTTGGATCTGCCAGGGTGTCAAGATAGGGTAAAAGATGGGGTTCTAGAACTTCGTGGATATAACGCTGCGCGTTCATGTTAACTCTGATGAAGATTAAAGGTGACCTGGAACTATGGTTCTATAGCTATAGCACCCCAAACCATAACTCCAACAGTGTGATGAACATGTCTTTCAACAAAAAACTGTGGATTCCTCCTTTCACCACGTCGCCTTCTAACCCTGGCACGACCATCGTGCATGCCTAAACCAAATCGAGACTCGTCACTAAAGACAATACTGTTCCATTCCTGATCCCAGAGTGACCGTTGTCTGCACCACTCAAGGCGATTACGTCGGTGTTCTCGAGTTAAAGGGAGGACCCAGTGTGGCCGGTATGAAAACAAGCCAAAACTTCTCATTCGTCGGTAAACACTTCGCATGCCGTGTTCTGCAAACCATTCATTTGCAATGGACCTGGTAGTGGAGAAACGGTCCCTTAGGGCCAATAATCTTAGGCGGTGATCTTCACGGTCTGTTGTTCTACGGCGGCGTCCAGTGCCCCTTGCTCTTTGCGTACGGCCTTCTCGAAGCCATGCCTGACAACACCTAACCACAGTGTCTACACTTCTTTGCAATCTGACTGCAATTGCCCGAAAAGAAAGTCCAGCTTCCCGAAGTCCCACTATACGGCCCCTATCAAACTCACTAAGTTGACGAAATCGTACAGGTCTCCGTACTCTAGGCATCGTAACCGATCGTAAAGGATGTCACGAACCAAAATCCGCAAACGTTGATTCTTTACTGCGGCTGAAATATTCATTTTTAGAGCGTTAGTGAATTTTAAAAAAAAGCAGTATAAAAACCGGAATGTCCAACTGATAAGGCTGAAAATTTTTTCACTTGTTATTTACAGTAAGATAAATACATTCACCAACTTTTATTAAAATAAAACCATTTAAACTGGGTGTTCGGATTTATATGTCACTTAGTATAATTCCTAGCTACACTTGGAGAAATACATTATTCTCGTCAGTAGTAGTAGTAGTTACTAAAGCATCAATACCATGTCCCGCTGAAGAGCAATACAATCAGCCTCAGAATCAGTAATCCTGAATAACTTTGAATCATCCGCAAAGGGGAGTTTATTAACACTTAAATATTGCGCAATATCATCAATAAATAAGGCAAACACTGAAGGACTAAGGTTTGAACCTTGAGGCACCCTCGATTTAGTTACATGCTGGTACAACTTGAAGCCATTGAAAGTAATATACTGCTTCCTTTCATAAAGATAACTTTGAATGAGTACAAAAGCTGATGACTGAAATCCATGATGAGAACGCTTATTTAAAAGTATGCCATAGTCCACCCGATCGAACGCTTTAGCAAAATCAGTATATACTACATCTAGTTGACCTTGCCGATCGACACATTCAATCGGTAAGCACTCTGTCCCAACGATCCTGATTTCTGCGTCCAATTTCAGATATATCTGGGTGGAAGCTTTCACCATTCTCATCATACCTCTACAGTTTTCACGATGAAAGTGGGGAAAATGAATTTTTAGAGACATTACATCCAGGTTCATGGTACGTTTGTAGGAGTTCTTTAACCAACAGTTGGTTGTTGTCATGTTTTTGACTGCATAGAAATCCTTCAAAGGCTGCACAGGCGGCTTTTTCTTCTCCCTCTAAGATTTCATCAAGCGCAGGGTATTGATTCTGTGATAATGACTTCTGGTTGAGTAGATGCCAATGCTTTAGTCTTGTTAGAAGAAGCTCTGCCTCCTTTTTCGGCAAGTCAAGATTTCTTATAAGATCACTCAATTTTCTCTTAGTATTGTGACAAATAGTAATGTTGGCGCCATCTGTTGGGCGAGTCTCCTACTCGCCAGAGCTTCATGGCCGATTTCTGCTTTTACGCGAACCACGACCGCACAAGCCGCTCGGCGGCGTCTGTGAGGACCGTGTGGATCGTTTCTAGATCGACACGAAGTGACCTCCAATATTCTAGATGTCGCTTTGTGGTTCACCAGACCTTTCTCGAAGCAGTAATGGGGACTATATATAACTCGGTGGGCGGGAGATGGAAGCAGAGTACTGAATACGGTAGAGTAGCAGAGCGGAGTGGAGTATAGTGCAGTCAATGGCGACATAAAAATTAGTCAGACATAAATAGTGGTGTACATAAATGTTCTATCAAGTTAAGTAAATTAGTGCATTTCTTTTTGTGGAATCCAGTGTTTTAATACAC